AGCAGATGACATAAGTAAATCTTCCCATGGATTTTTAAGTGATAACAGTAAAGTCACATCCCTGTGTGTTAACAGTGAAAGGGAAAAAAATCTCCAACATAAACTGCTGTCAGTCACATCATCTCTGCGATACACATTACAAGAAAAGTATAAAAAGAAAAGTCTGTTTTTTCCTTTGGATGACTTTGCAGGTAGGATACAAATAGTAATGAAATTGATGCTGGTGAACATTTTTATTAAGCTTTGTTGTGATAACCATCTTTTGTTAAAAAAAATTGTTTCAGTTCTCATCTTTTTGTTAATTGTTTTGTTTGATTGGGTCTTGATTCTTTTTACATTTTCATTTAAAACATTTAGGTCTAGAAGCATTAGACAGTTGTAAAGAGAACATCGCAACAAGCAACAAGCAAACGAATAATATCTGCAAACAATGTAAAAAGCATTTTTCATCCCCTGCAAGTCTTTTAAATCATATTCAACGGCATGGTGTTTTGGGCATTTGGAAAAAAAGCCTCAGAATTAAGAGACAAATTAGTAATAGAAACTCAGCATATTTGCATAAGATAATTAGAGCATTCTGGTTTCACCCTGGATCAAGAAGGCATTCTCTTAGTTTATCTGACACTTCCATAAGGCTTATTTTAAAGTACTTGAATGATATTTTCCCATCTACCAATAGCAACACTTTATCACAACACAAGTTTCCTCACTCTTCAGGCATTTCGAAGAGTGATAAAAATACAATGCTGTCATCCAACAGTATTTGTGAAGATATATTAAATAAAAAAAGACCAGTACTAAAAAGGACATCTAGTGGTCTATCAACCTTATTAGAAGCAGCTGCGGTTGCTAGTGGTGGATATGAGGATATAAATAATGCATCTAATTCCAACTTGAATGTCGTAGAACCTGTTGTTAGTAGTAAAATATTGCCAGTATCTAATACAGAAGATTTGAAATTTTTAGGATTGGACTCATTTAAAGCTCCAAAAAAACGTAGGAAAAGTTCAAGACTTGCATGCAAAAGTGCTAAGCGAAGACTTAAAAAAAATATTAAAGAGGCTGATAAAACTGAGAATATCATGTGTGAGAACTCTTCTTCTCATGAATCTTCAATGCTTACAAATTTAAACCTCTTATCAACTGTTAGCCTTTTAGACCGTCCTATTTCAACAGCTGATTCAAGCACCCCTGGAACTCATTTACAAGAAAAAGCTAACACTAACAGCAGTAGTGAAAGAGGACTACAGATAAATGCCATAACTAATGATCTCTCTGCTTCTGAGTTAGAAAAAGGTGTTACTGATAGTTTTGTAAATAAAACTTCAAGAGGAAACCTACTTTTAACCAATGTGGATCAAGAATGTATTTCTGACAAACAAGCTTCAATAATTACAAATGAATTAATTCTTAGTCATTGCTCACCTGATGGGAAAAGTTCTATTTCTTCGGAGTCTGTGCTACAGAATCTTGTGCCTGCAAATAAAATGGACATTGATTGTGATCATTCTTCAAGTAATTGTGGAGCTATTGATTTATCAAAGCCAAAAATGATGAATGTTGTCGATAACTTTTCAAAAAACACAAAAAAGATTAATATGTTGCCACACAACATTACACAACTTGTTACAGGAAGTAATTCATTAGAGATGCTTGAGTATCTAATGACAGTTACTAATTCAAGTGTCACTCCTAATCAGCATTCTCAGAAAATAATGCAACCCACTGAAAATATAATAAGTAACAAGCAGTCAGATTCTGATCTCCAAGCTCGTATGTTTGCAAGTGCTAGGAACTATAAAATTGAAAAGAAGTTAAATAGCTTTCCGCAAGTTCAAGCTGTTATTGCCTCAACTAGTAAAATTGTTCAGTCAGGGAAGGGTGGAAATAATAGTTTGTCAGATACACAAGGAGATGAAATACAGTGTGGCTATAAATGGAGTGGGTCTGGTGGATTAGTTAAAGAACGTACTCAAATGGTTAGGGAATTGGTACCTTCTGATGTTATGGCCAACTTTCTTAATAGACCCCAACCATCTTGTCAACAGCAGCAGTTGGTGAATCACTCTTCACCTGTTTTGTCAGTGACACAGAACCCACCACAATTGTTTTCAGCTGTAACAAATTCTTCTGATACCAGCCAGCAAGATATTTTATTATCACCAGCCCCTCAAATTGCTTTAAATCTTACAAATAAAACTACCAGAATTCCAAGTCCAAAGAGAGCTGTTGTTGGCAGAACTCGTAAAATTGTACCTAATTTAACATCATCACCAGTATGGAATGTGACTCCTGTTAGTTCATCACCTCGAAGTATTTTAAGATCATCTCTTTTAAATCCATCAGTTTCATCCTCTCCTGTTCACCAGACAATTCTTTCTGACCCTGTTAATAATGGTGGTACCAATGTAGCCATTAATTTGTCTTGTACAAATTGTCCTTCCCCAATATCATTACCATCGCCTGTACCAAACAGCCAAGCTTCATCAAATTATAGCATTTCAAGTCCATCTCTAGCAGCTATGCTTCGCCAACCAGCTACTTCGAAACACGATTTCAACAATTCTGAATTAATTGGAACTATAAGCAGCAATGTTATTTCTCCTGTATCTGTGTCATTACCTCAACATACTCCAGTAGTCATCACCAGTAACACACAGTTAACTTTACCTGGTGGTGTTCAGATCAAAACAGAGCCTGCAGACACTTACATACTTGACACAACCCAACCTAGAATTATTATGTCATTGCCAGTCAAGTCAGAGCAGTTTAATATAAAATTGGACAAAAGAAACATTCAAGATACACCTTTTACTATTGGCTCACCCAATATGGTGATGGATATCAGGTCAGATTTAACTGCTACTTATGGAGAAGATTTATCAAAACCTAATAGTACAGTGTCAAAAGCTGCAGAGAGAAAATCTGATGGATCATCTGTGAAGTGTTAATGCCATTGCCATTACTAATTGATTTTAAAAAAAAAATGATTTGTCATTAATCAAATGAAGAACACTTACATAAGCTTTGTGATATTGCATGCAAGAAACTCAATGTATGTTGTGAAGACATTTTTGGATATCTGCTATATTTTGCTTGTTAGGAGATTTAGAATACAGTAGGCCTATCTTGAATATTGCTTCCCCAGAACCAGACTGTTCAGTGTTCTAACTAAATTTTTCAGACACATTTAGAACATAGTGTTTAACTCTCAAAAAGGAGAGAAATTGGTTCTTGGGAAGTTATAAAGCTGATTTTATCTTAATATTTCAACATTTTTAATCATGTAGTCATTTTTCAATTTTAAACCAGATAAATCAGCAATCCAAATGTCTGCACAACACAAAAACTTTCCTGTCTGAAACACTATAGATTTTTAAAATGTATTTATTCTTTTATTTTATCTAACTACTAAAATGTTGCAACCCAAGAATGTGAATGTTGTTTGAAAATAGGTACATTCATAACTAAAAGACAAGCCTCTATTTTCATGTAAAGAATGATGGTTTATCCTAAAAAAAACCTGTGGGTTTTTTTTTTTAATTAAATAAAATAAGTTGGTTTTGGGAAAAGGCAGAAAAGCTACATATCTTATTTAAATATGTGTCTGTGTATACATATATGTGTACAATATATATAAATTGTATAATATATAAAAATGTTCCCAATCTACTGGTACGCTGAATTCTGCCCATTAGCCATGTCATCATTTTCATTAAATTTTAAATATATTTCTTAGTGCTCATTTTTTTGTTTTTAAAGTGCTGACAAGTTATATTTGGGTTGCAGAAGTTGAAACAAATACTAAATCTGCAACCTTATTCTAATTTTCATAGAATAAGCTGGATCGTTGGATGTATAAATACTGCCTTTCATTGAAAATGTCTACCTCCCCTGCTACAAAGGAATTGACTTTTTAAAATATCTAAGCCTATTGCAATTTTCTTGCAGTTCATATATGTTTCAATTACCAAGTGTTCTGTACAAATATGTCCATAAAATGGAGTAAAAAGAAACATCTTTATGAGTCAGGCTGTGAAACTACCTTGTGATACTTGCATCCTTTGTATCAATGTATACAGTTGATTATTTAGGGGTGTGTGTTATGGTTAATCTTTTGTTAGATTAGACCCTTCATTTTCAAGTTGAAAATAAGTTTTTAACATTGACTGCTTATCATTGTTACATAAAATTAAAATAACTGATAAATTCTGCAGAATATACCACAAAATCAGTTAATAAATATTTTAAATTCTATTTAGTTGTATAGATATTTTGATTGTTATATAAATCTCATGAGCAGTATTGAAGGATGTAAATCTGGGCTGAAGGATTCATAGCTTACTAAGCTTACACAAGAGTGAGAAACAGCAGTTAGTAGTAAGTCATCTTCATGGTAAAATACAAGTTAACTAAGGCCTTGAATGATGACTTGCATACTGAAAAAAACTAATACATTCCAGTTCTGACTGACTGAAATTGTAATTTCAGGAAATAATTTTTAATTGCGTAAACATTTTAACATGTTTTTAAAAACACTAACTGGATTTTGAAAATGTCAGCTTTGTTTTTAAAGATGTCTATTTTTGCTTATTAAAATATAAATTGTTGTACACCTCATTTTTTTTACATACACACTTATATTGGAATCCAATTAAAAAAAGGGGAGTTAACAAGTACATCAAAAACTATGTAGTATGTAGATCTATCAAATGATCTGGTCTAGACAAACACTATCCCTGATCAGCTAAGTAGTATTTTTATGCTTCACAAGATGAGTAGTCTACTATTTGCATTGCATGTACAATTTATTACACAGTTTGTTCTAAAAATCTATAACTTGTATTATTAGGTAAACATTGTATATATTATGCTACACAAATATGCAACAGCAATTAAACAGCTTATTTGTACTTGTAAGTAAAATGGAGAAAATGAACTTAGTTTACAAGATTTTTGTTTTGTAAACTTCAAAATTTTAAATTCAAAGTAAACTCAGTTAGATGGTACTTTTAATTTTTAAAAACAAAAGGTTTCAATTATGCAATATTGATTTACTACTATGCAACTAATTTGGTTTTCTTGTGTCCATTATTGTTACATTCAAATTCATTTCAGTCCTTTTAAAAACATTTGCCTCACAAATCTTTTTGTTGTAAATTAAATTCAAATATATACACACATCTCATTTTAAAATTAAATTTTGTCTTCAATCTTTTAAAAATTTTTTAAGTGTTTTCTTTCCAAAAGTTATTTGAACCTCAATTTATAATTATGTGTATAATAGATATACATATGTTTATATATGTACCTTTATAGCTGTAACCAGAGTTATGGGCATTATGTATTATGATGATTAAAGTTATTTATTTGCATCTGCTTAGTATTTTAAATAAATTACTATACTGAATATTGAAAAGATTTTTTAAATTTGCAGTTAATTCAGTAATAAAGTATTATATAAAGGACATTCATAGAAACTTTTGTTAATACCATTTTTTTTTCTTTTAAGAGATGGGCATTTTTATATTGTACAGCAATTTGATGTTTTTGTTGCTTTCCACCTTAAAGAATTTGAAAATATTATTCCACCTTAAACCTTATTGCAGTTTTGCAAGAAAAGATAGCTGGCATTAAAATGAGTTATAAAGTTCAACCATTTATTTATCCATTTGTTTTTGGATCTCAATTAATAGGTGACCAAGAAATTCTGTATAATTCATTAACCTAGCATCAATTCCTAATATTATGAACCTTTAATTTTTTAATGCTGTTTTGTAACATATTTTGAATTGCTCTTGGTCACATTCTTTAACGATCATAATGAAATAATGTTCAATTTGTTTGAAATTTAATTCTTAGTTTATGATTGTTTTGCCTTGTTTCATACATATCCATAATAAACTTTACAATTTTAGATACATGTTCCCAGCCAAAGTCTGTTTGATGCTATAGTTGCTATACTGAAAGAGAATATTTTGCTCCAAAAATGTTTTTGAACATAAAAATCAATTATGAAATTCTTACATATAATGCTCCATGCTTAAGGCTATTTATCAAAACAGAAATCAGTAATTTAGTTACATTAGATTATTTAAATAGACATGTTATATGTCACCTATAATAATAAATATTCTGTTATAATTTTAAATTCTCATTTCACTGTAAAATACTGTACAATATTTGTCACACTTAAAAGGCTTATTTAAGTATGATTAATGTTTATTAACATTGATTACTCTATTAAAGTAAAGCAGCAGGCCCTATATATTAGTATACATGGTAAGTTATTTCACATAAATTACAAATTGTACTAATTATATTTTTACAAGGCAAGATAATACACTCAGGGAAACACTACAGATGAAAGATTTGACAGAGATAAAATTTTATATAATTTTTATAACACTTAGTTTCATGTTCATTTGATTCTTTTTTTAAAAACATGTTTATTAAAAAGTATAGATTTTTAGTATCAAACTAAGTTCATGCTTGGATTCGTAAATGCTGATTTACTATTGTAACAAGTGTTTTTTTTTATATAAAAACTCTAAAACCAGTATACATTGATCTCCAATGAATTTGACCTTCTAAACTGATACAGGTGATCAATTAAAACCCTATTACTTTTCAAACATAATTTTTACAAAAGCTATGGCTGTAGATACAGATAGGTTGTTCTCATCACCCCAACAAATCAGCTTTGATGATGTTAATTTTGGTAACAATTTAAAGTACAGTAGTTTCTTGTCATATTGCTACTTGTAAAAAAAAAAAGATCTAGATATCATTATCAATATCCCAATGCCTATTGTCAGTTTGAGTTAACCATATTTAAGATTCTTTTATGTATGATGTGAAACCAAAAGGTTGGTTACGCTGTGTATTTCAAGTAAATAAAAGAAACAGAAATAGTTAACAATGGTTATAAAAGTCATCAAAAATAAATTATTTGCCTTTTGGTGCGAAGCTCAGAGTTTTCTTTCTGTTCAAAAATTATGTTTGAAATAAATGTTACTCTATACGAAAAACTGTTGTGCTGCTCTATAACTTTAGTAGAATTAATTATATTATAGTAGGTTTTGAAATTTAGGTTTACTCAAAACACATAGCATTCTAGCTCACGTAATTTCATCATTGAAAGTATTTGGTGGTAATGATACTGTCATTAACTAGTTTAAACAATGCATTTTTCAGCTTTTCTTTCATAACCTGTTACATTTAATAGAAAACTTGCTTTACACTATTCAGATATTCTTGGATGTTATTCATTAGTAAATATAAACACTGGATAAGATTTTCATTGAAAATGTTAAATTATCTTTCATTAAAATCTATATTTGCTTTTATAGTTCTATGGCCTACTTGTACAAAAAAAAAATACAAATGTAAAGATTTGAAATTTGCATGTTGGCATGGTGAAATACAGTGTAACAGTGATAAACAATATAGTTACTGGTATTTAATAATATTATTGGTCCAGTGCTTTAAGTAATGTTTTTATGGTCATTGGGAAATAGTTTATACACATTGATAACATTGTTTTCTGCTCTTGCCATCAGTTTGTGATATATTATACTCAGGCCCTTTATTTGAATGGTTTCATTTTCGATGCTCTTTACTTGATTCTTCAAACAATTAATCTAGTACTTTGTACAATTGAATGGATTCAAAGGTTGTTTTTTTTTTTACTTTAACATAAGACTGCTAAAAATATTTTTACAAGGGTTATTGTTTACATTTCTATTTAGGACCCATCCATTATTGTACACTTTTAGTAACACTTGTTTTGTTTTTTTCTGTTAGCTATAGTAGTATTTTTAAAATAAATTCTAAATGGTTTTATTTCACTTTAACCTGGGACTGTTCAAAACAATTATATTCATAGCTTAGAATGATACTTATATTCTGTATTCAATATTACTTATTAAATTAGTAGCCCTTATTGAACAATATTAAAAATGACAACAGTTTTTTTTTTATTGTTAGTATGTGTACATTTTGTAAATATTAAAATTCACTATAGTTTCATTAGTCTATTTCTAAAAAAAAAAGGGCATTCACTGTAGCTAATCAATTGTATCTAATTGTTGGCTATCAATGCTACAAGTGTATTCCTTAAATCACCCTGATACATGATATGACCTATTAACTTTATATACATAAACCATTTTAAACAAAATAAAAATCTATATTAACTCAACATTTTACCTTTGTTTTCATTTTGGTTTTGTTGCTGTTTGTATGACTGAAAACGTAAGCTCAGCATTAGCGTCACAAGGTGATGCCATCCGCAACAGGTGACACCATTAAAATTAGAGTAATTGCTGTCAAAACGATGTTAAGTTTAAAATAATAAAATAAGACAAAGTCTTTGGAATTGTGGGTTCACCCAGGGGCGGATTAATCTTGTGTGGAGCCCCGGACTGAGACTCAGTGGCGTAGCTACTGTAATGCTAGAACAAATGGGCCCCTTTGTCTCTAAAAAATAATAATTTTACATTGAAATTTATCTATATATATAACTAGCCGGCCAGGCCCTGCTCTGGCTTCTGTTTAAAAACCTTTCTGTTAAAGACCATTACCTGTGTGTTTAGTAATCATCATAAACCTGGCATTGCCCACCCAAACCACAACCAACCAAAACAACAAAACGCAAACATAACGCTAACACAATTACAAATACAAACGAAAACAAAAACCTAACATAAAATCCAACCACAACCACAAACACCAATACAAACACAAAGAAAAAACAAACAAAAAAGCAAACGAAAACAAAAACCTAACAACAAACCCAACCACAAACACCAATACCAACCAATAACAACACAAAAAAAAACACGAAAAATCAAACGAAAACAAACCAAATCCAAACGCAAAACCAACCAAAAACACAAATACAAACCCAAAGAAAAAAACACAAACAAAAACGAAAAAAGAAAGAACAAAAACGAACCAAATCAAAACGCAACCACTAACGCAAACCCAACGGAATCGCCTGTTTTAGCTTAATAAACGACTATAGTACCCCAACTTATTCATAGTCTTTTGCACTCACTTAAACGAACGCGCCTGTTTCAATTTAATGAACAATTTTAATACTCCAAGCTTATCCGTAAAATACCCAGGGGCGTAGCGAGGGGGGGGCGGGGGGGGCGGACCGCACCGGGTGACACCATTTAGGGGGGTGACACCAAGGCAAAAAATAGCAAAATATATAGAGAAAAACTCGAGGGGGGGGGGGTGCAAATCGAAAGTTTGAGGGGGGGGGGTGCAAATCGAAAACTTGAGGGGGGGGTGTGCAAATCGAAAACTCGAGGGGGGGGGGGGTGCAAATCGAAAGTTTGAGAGGGGGGTGCAAATCGAAAATGTGAAAGTTTGTCCCTGGGAAGGGTCTCTATGCCTCTGGGGGGGGGGGGGGGTGACACCATTAAGTACCGCACCGGGTGACACCCGACCTCGCTACGCCACTGAAAATACCTACAACATTTGCACTTGATCAATCCCCGCTAATTATGTAATTATTTTTTTTCCCAACACCAAAACAAAGTAATAAAAAGTAAATTCTTTTCCACTAATGCAATGGTTTTATAAAGGGAAGTAATTGTGTTTTCCTAATTTATCAAAGGGAAGTAAGTGCTAAAGGACTAAATATAAATAATTTTCAGACATAATTAGAATTTTTGTAATTTTTAAAAAATTGTGTTTAATGAACATGCCGACAATTATTACTATCAGTTTGAAAAATGAAAATTATTTCCCAACACTTTCAATAGTAATTTTTTAACTCATAAATTTAGACAAAATGCGCACGATAATAGTCTAACACTTTAATCCATCGAAGTATGTCAACGACCAACATATTTATTATTACATACAGAATTGAGCTATATATTAGACTAGCCGTCCCGGCCAGGCCCTGTTCTGGCTTCTGTGAAAAACCTTTCTGTTAAAGACCATTACCTGTGTGTTTAGTAATCATCATAAACCTGGCATTGCCCACCCAAACCACAACCAACCAAAACAACAAAACGCAAACATAACGCTAACACAATTACAAATACAAACGAAAACAAAAACCTAACATAAAATCCAACCACAACCACAAACACCAATACAAACACAAAGAAAAAACAAACAAAAAAGCAAACGAAAACAAAAACCTAACAACAAACCCAACCACAAACACCAATACCAACCAATAACAACACAAAAAAAACACGAAAAATCAAACGAAAACAAACCAAATCCAAACGCAAAACCAACCAAAAACACAAATACAAACCCAAAGAAAAAAACACAAACAAAAACGAAAAAAGAAAGAACAAAAACGAACCAAATCAAAACGCAACCACTAACGCAAACCCAACGGAATCGCCTGTTTTAGCTTAATAAACGACTATAGTACCCCAACTTATTCATAGTCTTTTGCACTCACTTAAACGAACGCGCCTGTTTCAATTTAATGAACAATTTTAATACTCCAAGCTTATCCGTAAAATACCTACAACATTTGCACTTGATCAATCCCCGCTAATTATGTAATTATTTTTTTTCCCAACACCAAAACAAAGTAATAAAAAGTAAATTCTTTTCCACTAATGCAATGGTTTTATATAGGGAAGTAATTGTGTTTTCCTAATTTATCAAAGGGAAGTAAGTGCCATAGGACTAAATAAAGACATAATTAGAATTTTTGTAAAAGATGATATTTTTTTAAAACTTGTGTTTAATGAACATGCCGACAATTATTACTATCAGTTTGAAAAATGAAAATTATTTCCCAACACTTTCAATAGTAATTTTTTAACTCATAAATTTAGACAAATGCGCACGATAATAGTCTAACACTTTAATCCATCGAAGTATGTCAACGACAAACATATTTATTTTTACATACAGAATTGAGCTTATATATTAGATTCTCTTCTGGGAGACGTTAGAAAACAAGCTGCAAGCGCGCCTTGCAGTCCCCTCTTTTCCTCTCTATCGCTACCACCCCCTCTCACATGGTCTGGTGAGGTGTGGTTCACGCTAAATGTTTACAAACCGTAGAGACGGGTTTAGTGACGGCTATTAGGGGCAGATAATTTAGTTTGAAACGATTTTAAACTTAGGGGAGGTAACTAAGAGGAGGCTGCTTTCACGAGGGGGTGAGGCAGGGGTTGGGGAAAAGAAGGGTTTTAATGTTTTAAAGTAAATATTTTCAGGGGCAGCATTGGTACTGTCGAATTCACAAATTATGAATTACTGAAAAGTTGAAAAAAAAAAAACCCAACTAAATAGAGGCGTATGATACGCCGCGGGTCGGCTCGTATATATATAATTCTCTTCTTGGAGACGTTAGAAAACAAGCTGTAAGCGCGCCTAGCAGACCCCTCTCTTCTTCTCTAGGCATATCGCAACCACCCCTATATGGTCTGGTGAGCTGTGGTTCACGCTATGTTTAGAATCGTAGAGCCGGGTTTCGTGACGCCTATTAGGGGCAGATAATTTAGTTTGAAACTATTTTAAACTTAGGGGAGGTAACTAAGCGGAGGCTGCTTTCACGGGGGGGGGGGGGAGGAGGTTTTTTTTTAGTGTTTGAAAGCATATAACCTGCATGAGCCATATAACTGGTTGGTGACCTATTTACCAGCCAGGGGCAGATTTGAAACTAAGGGGAGATCTGGTCAGTTTCTCTGTGGGCGCTCGGCGCACCTCGTGCGTGGAGGTATTTGTTTGTTTTTTACAATATTTTATTTGTATATGTGTGATTTGTAGGAAAGCGACTGCCGATGTTTCTCGTTTTCTTTCTACAATAATTTTGTTACACGTTATTTGCTAGTTAATTTTATGTACTATTGTATTAATCCTGATGGCTTATTTAACCCTGTTGGGTACCATGGCGTTCTTGGTAAGACAGTGGTTAGTTGTGTTTTTGAGAATTTATTTGATTATTCTAGGATTAGTGTTAGTAGTAGGGATTAGTATTTTACTCGATGCTTTAGCTAGATATCTTTAGCAGTAGTAGTAGGTAGTATTTTAAACATGTGTATAAATTTATGTATATATTTTCCATGCATTTTGTTTATTTTCCTTTTCTTTTCTCTCTCTCTCTCTCTCTCTCTCTCCCCCCCCCCCCCCCCCCCATCCCTTTTCAGCGAAGTTGCTTTTGCAACTTGGCTGGGTGTTTTGTATGTATTGTTTTGTAGGTAGTGTTTTGTATCTGGTGTTTTGTATGTATTGTTTGTTATGTATTGTTTTGTTTGTTGTTTTGTTTATATGACATGTGTGATTGGTGCGGATATTAGATGGTGTTTCGATTGCCGTAGGGGATAGAAAGGTTGTCTGTGTGTTCAGAGCCTAGAATATCCGAGGCATCGAAAGTACATAATATTCCATCGAACTTTGTGTGTTTTGTTTGTTTAGTGTTTGATTAGGATGTTTGGATTTGAAAAAAAGGTTTACGTTTTTTTGTTGGTTCCATTTTCAAATGTAGATAAAACTATAAGCTTATTTATTTTTTGTGTTTTTTATCTAGTCTAAGGTTAAGATTAAAACCAATCTGGGTTTAGCCGGACTTGCACTGACCGGACAGTTTATTTAGATAAGCTTAGGAATGGTAGATATTAGTTATTCCCCCCCCCCCCTAGCAGGGCTTATACAAACACGTGATGACCTCCGGGTGCCATCTGTTGACAATTTCGGCATGTGCACAACATTACACACCCATGCGATCTCCACAATGATGGGACGTCATCTTCTGACTCTCCTGCTACTGATGAACATTTACAACCACCGGATTTTCATTGCAACATTCAACATTTGCTCAAAACAGTTCACACAACAAAATAATGTCAACGCACATTTAAAAAGAAACCACTCTAGTAAACGCATTCCAAAGACGACTTTAAAAGTTTAAATGCACCATTTGTTCCAAAGTCATCTGTCTCCAGAGATATCTCAATACATATTTAAAAACACACCCCAGTGAACAAACGCATTCCACGCAGGACTTTAAATGAACGATTTGTTCCAAAACCTACCGATTCCAGATTTAAAAACACACTTCACTGAACACAACTCCCACTCTCAAGAAGCTCCTATATACTAAACATGTACATGTAGAAACACACTCAACATTTCTTTGCAGCATTTGCGTTAGGGTTAGCATTGACTCCATCGTCACAGACGATATCCGAAGAATTTCTAA